TCCCAGCCACACTACGCTGTTTCAAACCCCTTCCACTTCAAAACTTTTTGCTTTTTGACCACCGGCCCGCCGAAGCGTTTCTAGTTCCAGAAAAAAAAGCGATTAACGAGGGATTGGCTGTGGTGAGAGACGGTAGATGGCCATGGGGGGGGCATTGCGTGTCGCTTCATGTGAGGGGGCCCAATTATCGGCTCGTTTCCACCTGGCCCCCGCGGCTAGAGAAAGTGGCCATGCCGCCGAGGCTAGGGGCACATTTGTCGACCTGCCCCACCACGAGGGCTATTAGCCCGACAAATTGCAAATAACGCTTCTTATATCAATTCTCGTACTAATTTACCGTATTCCTGTAAAACTTGAAGTTTATCTTTTCGAAATAACGTTGATTTCATGGCGTACAACTTTTTTAAAATCCATTAAAGCTAAAAAATTTTGATATTTTTATTGAATTTTATTGCGTAGTAGTTTCAAAAAATCTTGATAATTCACTAAAAATATAATTTTTCGATTGGCCACTTGTTTTCTTAAATAATGCCTTGTTTTAAGCTCTTTTTATATAGCCTAAGGTCTTAAAAATATCCGGATTTTCTATGGCAAAAATCTACATAAATTTGAACTGACATGTCGTTTCTCGGAAAATTTAGCTTTTTAAGACCAGGATTACCTAGCGTAATTGTTTAAACCCTGAAAATTATCGACATTTCCTGGAGTATTTAATCTAGTTAGACCATGATTTTTAACGTAATTTTTAACGCTATAAATACTTAAAAATGACGCCATTTCATTTGTTTCCTGCTGCCGGTTTTTAAATACTTTGAAATGTTTAATTATTGCATTTCTTCATCTCTACAACTCCCAAAAGTGCATCCCCTCTTTCTTGAACACTACGCGTGGCTCCTGTTGACGGCATTTGGGTATATTCCGGTGCACTCCGGAATTCCGGCCAGGTCTCGGCTCCTTCCGCCCGTTAATCCCTCCATCACCCCATCTCTTCGATTCTCCAAAAATGGAGAGATGCCCCACCTACAGTAATCCGCCATTTTAGGGGGTAACGTATCTCGAAAAGGGATGCTATTTAGGAAGCGGGAAATTATGACGGAGAATTTTTGCAAAACAATGTTTCATGGAATTTTGGGGTTTAGGGATTGGAAGTGTGCGATAATTTCAAGTTCCGAGCTAGTCGAGGTATAAAATTTCAAAGTAAAACATTCTCAAGTAATGAGAAACTAGCAGAGATTTTTAGGGAAATCAAAGCGAGCGGGCTGGCAGCGATCACTTTGGGAACGTTATCATTAATGCTCCAGTGTTAGATAGAAATTTATGGCAGGCTAGCAGTGACCATTAGGGAAAATAGGAGAGCAGTCGAGCAGCGATTCTTCGGGAAATTAAGGAGCGCAGGCTAGCAGTTATCTTTAGGGAAATCAAGGAGGCAGACGAACAGCGGTCCTTTGGGCAGATTAAGAGAGCAGGCTGGCAGGGCTTCTTTGGGGAAAAGCAGGCAGGCCAGCAGTGATCCTTTGCGGATCCGAATGGACTAATAACAGGCGCATTAGCAGATATTTTACGGAAATTTCCCTTGGCAATCTAGCAGTGATCATTTGAAGACCGTTGCCTGAAATCCTAGTCCCAGGCAAACTAGCGGAGACTGTTTAGGAACGAATTTCACTTCCTAGGGCAATCGAACAGAGTTCATTTAGGAATGCCCCGCCCCTTTGTTGTTGTGATTGTTTTGTGCTGGACGGACTTGGAATGGACTGGGAACTTTGTTGCAAACTTATCTCCTTGAGAAGAGATGGATCTGTTTGTGTATTTCCCCCTCCACTCGGCAGCACTGACCTCTTGCTCGTTCTTTGCACTCTCTCTCTCTCTCTCTCTCTCTCTCTTCCCTGTCAACTGACACCCACCCATTGCACTATAACTTTACGCTTTAAAAGCCACCGACAACTTCCGCAATTGCCAGGGGCGGTCATTCCCAGATTTTTGGTGCTTTCCGAAATGGCCTCTGCTCGCTTGCCCTCATCATTTTTAAATTGTTTCTGCTAGCCTGCCTCCTTTGATAGTTTTTTCCAAGAGAATCTCTGCCAGCTGTCTATTTGCTGCATTTCCCAAATTCTCGCTGCTCCCTTGCCCTCTGCATTTGCTCAAAGGACCAATGCTAGCATGCCCTCCAGTTCGAACTTCCCGAAGAATCTCTGCTAGCCTGCCTCGTCAAAATTCCCGAAGAATCGCTGCTATGCCGTTCCTAAATAGCTTCTGCTAGTATCCCTTTACTAAAGAATCTCTGCTAGCTAAGTTTTTCGCCAAGATTCCGAAAGGGTCTCTGCTAGCCTACCATGCCTTTCCAAGTCTGAAAGTTTTTGGTTTGTTTGGCTGTATAGTTTTGACCACAATTCTCTAATGTTCTACGCTATCTTGCCCAATGGCTATCTGCTAGCCTACCCATGTATTCAATTCTCAAAGAATCTGTGCCCGCCTGCCTTCAGCTCAAATTCCAAAATGTGCGAGTTTGTGCCGGGAGCGGCGAATTGGACGAGAAAGAGCCAGAGAGAGAGAGAGAGAGAGAGAGAGAGAGAGAGAGAGAGGTTGATCTCCCTCACCTGTTCAATCGCAAATACCCCCTCTCTGGGTCTATCGATCACCTCCCGCTAAAGGGCCCTATGGCCACCCCATCTTCCTAGAGGTTGGCTGTACTTATGTTTACCGATTTAACTATTTTAACTATTTTTTCAGTCTATTTTTAATATTATAAAAATGCGGGCTGACCAAATTTTTCTATACCATCGACTGAATGATTTTTTTATGTAATCAAATTTAAATTTATTTGAATCTATCTCGAGCTGGGCAAGCTAGCAGGGATTTTGAGGGCATTTTTGCCTTTTCAATGGTATCTATGAGCTGAGGAGCATTACCGATTCTAACTCAGTTTTTGCAATTTTATTAGTTCAAACATTTATTTTTCTAGTTAATTTTCTCCCCCCCGTTGATCTATTGGCTTGGGTGTAATTTGAACGTATGCGAATGCAAGGCAAACTAGCAGCGTTTATTTGGGTATTTTTAGCAAAATTTATGTCTTGCTTACGTACAGAGTTATGGCCTTAATTTAAGATATTTGATGAAACATTGAATTTTTCAACGATAGGGTTGGCAATTCTGTACTACTATATTAATGACTTCTTCTTGATAATTGAACATTTCCCTATGAGAAACACATCATTTCCCCCCCCCCCCCCGCCGCACCCCTTCTCAAATGTCGAAAGACCAACCGAGGAGAAAATCCAATTTTCTCGGAGAGTTTCGCGACTCGCCACGGGGGCTCCCCGTTTAATTTGGCCACTCTCTGTCTCTCTCTCCCTCTCTCTCACTCTCTCTCGCTCTCTCTCTCTCTATGTCTCTCTATCTCTCTCCCTCTCTCTCCATCGTTTCTATCGCCTTGCAAATGCTTTTGAATGCTGCAAAAAATGTGCTCCATTCATTGGACCCCCTCTGACTCGGAGCGACGCTGATTCATATTTTTAACGGAATTTTGTTCTATTTAATCTTTGCTTTATTTCCATTTACAATTTGATAATATATTTCACAGATTGATTAACAATATTAAGCAAAAAACGGGCGTTTAAAAGATTGAGTTTCATGGTTTTTGAGGAACCGGCCAAAGATTTTTTAATGATTCGGTGATTCGAGGTTTGTTTAAAAGGTTCAGCTTTCGAAATGCCGACATTCAAAATACCGACAGTCAAAATCCTGTGCCCCAAAAGGGCTAATTAATTATTAAAAAGTCATTCCAATTACGCTCACTGCCGGTATTTTGCGGGTCGGCATTCGGAGTCGGCATTTTTCACACGATGCATCCATCGACACTCCCCCAATTGGTGGATGTGGATGCGATGGGAAGAGCATTTTTCGGGGGGTATCGTCGAACGAGGGGAAATGGAATCGGGGGGTGTCGATTGGATCGTATCGGAAATGGGCAAAAGAATTGATGCTCTCAACCCACCCAAACACTCCCCCATTCAGCCACTTTACCCCCTCTCTATTGATCATCAGCTTTCGGCCGGTCATTTTTCGGTTTAAAGGACCCGGCAAGGCATTGCAATGAATTTATTTGCATTGAGATATTTCGATTGCGTAACTGATTAGGACTAATTGACGTGCGTCGCGTGTCGGGGGCCTTTCAAAAGCCATAGCTTGTTTTCGCCATTCTAAAGGCCCGGACAAGGCTTGGCTACGGATTTATTGTTGCGCGACACGACACGCGACGCGCCATCTCAATTGCGCCGCGTCGGGCATTACCGATTTAATTCATGCAGAATCCACAACCAGCCAAATAGCCCCTTAAGCGACTATTTTTTTGGAATTAATGCTGGTTATTTCACGCAGTCGCAATAAATTAAGAAACATTTTTTACGACGGTGGCACAAGTTTTTGAAATATATATTTTTCAAAAACTTGATGCTGAATTTTTTCTGATTTTTGTCTGTATATCTGTCTCGCTCGCTCTCCCTCTCGCTCTTTCGCTCTCTCTCTCTCTCTCTCTCTCTCTCTCTCTCTCTCTCTCTCTCTCTCTCTCTCTCTCTCTTTTCGGCAATTTATTTGGTCCGACTTAAAGCAGATTTTTCCCCCAAATTCGCTATTACAGCATTATTCCGGTGTGAAATAGTCATCAATTAATGATATCTTGCTAATTTTTGTTGATTTCGAAATACTTGATGATCTTAAGCACAGTTTTTATTGCATTAGTGACGCGTGAAATAGCCTCGTGCTTTCATCAAAATGTCACCTGCGGTTGGAAATGGCAATCCTTTATGTTTGGGCATATCTCTGTGTGTGCCTCTCCCTTTCTCTCTCTCGCTCTCTCTCTCTCTCTCTCGTTCTCTCTCTCTCTAACCTTGCAATTTTTTATTGAATGAAGTCGATGCTTCAATCTATCCAGGGTTAATCCTATTTTTTGCAGATTCCAAGTGACTACTCTGGACGTAATACCCCGGGGAGCCCATCCGGAAGGGATGTACGAGGAGAATGAGGACTGCAGAAAACGGTAACATTTCATTTTAATGAGACAAAAACCTGGTTTTTAGGATTGTTTGTTTCAAAGCGTAATTGGATTCGGTAGATGAACTTTATTCTATTTTATATACCAAATTTCCCACACCGGTTCATCGTCCGACAAATTAGGACCAAACCACGGGGTTCAAAAACTGGGAATAACAGCTTTCTCTCTCTGACTCTCTGTCTCTCTGTGTGTGTGTGTCTCTCTCTCCCTCTCCCTCTCATGGCAAATTGGCGTGGGGGATCGAGAGAGGGATTATAGGGAGCAAATTTATTTTTTGGCCACTCACCCCCATCGGATTACGCGTCCCCCTTTTTGGGTCGGAAAATTAATCCCGCCATCGGGGGTGGGAAATAAATGCTTTCGAAAATACATTTTTGACTTTAAAGGGACCAGGAAAAAATCAATCAGCAAGAGAGGGAACGAGAGAGAGAGATAGAGAGAGAGAGAGAGAGAGAGAGAGAGGGAGGGAGAGCGAGAGAGCGAGAGACGGAGAGAGAGTGAGAGATTCTTTGTGGAAGATTAACTCAACATGGGGGCAGGCTAGCAGTGGCAATTTGGGGAAATGAATAAGCCTAATCGATGAATTGTCCAGGGAAAGCTAGCAAATATTCTTTGGGAAAGAGCAGAATTCATAGTCCGAGAATTGCCTCATTACGCAAAAAATCCGGAATTATATGACCGATTTTTGTGAAACTTAAAAAAGGAAAAGAAAATGATAGTAAAATCGCATAATTTTCGGCGAGCTAGCAGAGATTCTTTGCGGAAAATGAAGGAAAAATCAGGCTAGCAGTGTTAGTTTTTGGAAACGTTCTTATCTAGCATAATGAAAAAGCGGGCTAGCAAAAACCATTTGAGCAAGTTGAAGAATTTAGGAAAATTGTATGAAGCGGAAATCTGCTAAGATCTAATTCGATCGCGCATTATGCTTTTCTCCTTACCTAGCGTCATTGACTTCTATGAAACACAAAATTTTAACAAATTCCCGAAATTTTCCAATTCCATGGTGCTACAGTGAAAAAATATGTTTTAGAAAAAACTAAGGTCAGACATGAGTCAAAACAAATAATGTTGCAGGATAGTTTGGTCGACAATAAAAATTCATATTTATTTCAGAAATATCGAAAAACGGCGTGAGACATCTCGTTTCGCGGCTCGAGACCGCCGCGGCAAGGAGGCCGACATTTTCCAGGACCTGAAAGATGTGGGTGATTTTGTTGATTTTTATTTTTAAATTGTGGATGCCGAATACGATATTTTGGGTGTTTTATCATTTCTTAAAAAGAATTTTTTACTAAAAAAGACCAAATTGTGTTATTTCTAGAAAACTATGATAGGAGCAAATTACCTTACAAGTTATGTTCATCTCAACAAATTTTTTTGGAACATTTAATTGAAAAAACCTGAGTCTCAAAAACCGCTGAATACAGTATAAAAATATATATTTTTTGATAGGTTTAAATTAGATATTGTATTAAGACGGGGAATTAAATCTTACCTAAACCTAAGCACCTTATTTTTATAACTTAAATTTGACAAAATATTTTGATCCCGGAAATGTTGACCAAATAATATCGTCACCATCCCAGTCAATTTATCTTTTTTTTACCCCCTTTCCCCCTCTGGATATTCGATGAGTGATGGGGTGGGGCTGAATGAATACGTAATGAGAATTTCCTGGCAAACACCCAATCGCTCACCGGCTCTCTCTCGCCCTATCTCTCTCTCTTTCTCTCTCTCTCTCCCACTCTCTCTCTCTCTCACCCACTCGCTCTCTCTCTAGCTGTTTCTGGACGTTGAGAGGACCGCCGCGTAGCATTAATAATGAAATGCCCTCCCGGGGGAATCGCCGGAATTTTCGAGAATTTTTGAATAAAGGATCGCAATTTTTGGAACAATGTTTCGGAAATGTTTATGAGTAAAATCGGGAAAACAGTGGCGATTTTTGCGCACTAGTTAGTTAGCAATTTACCGATTTACCGGTGTATTAATTTAACGATTTTTCGCCAAATATGTTCCACAAATTTTAGTAGAAAACATTAGCAAACATTCAAGGGAATAATTTGGATTCAAGGGATCTAACCTAAAAATGTGTTCACATAACTTTCTTCCAAAGACAGTAATGCAAAAGGTGCAAACAACGACTTTACGCAAAACTAAGCTACGTTACAAAACGCTTACACCACGTAATTTCAGGAGGTGCCAATCGTCCACGACGCCACCGTAACCCATGTGGATCGGATAGCCCTTCTCAGGGTAGCCGCCACTTTTTGCCGATTACGAAAATGCGGAACGGAAGGTGAGGCTCAAAAACTGTAGAAAAATATGTTCCTGAAAACTACAGTAATCCAGAACTTGATTTAAGCGCAATCGGCCAATAATTTACAATCGAAATAACTTTTATCCCAAAAATCTTCTTTATTTTAGGCTGCATACAATTCATCGATTCAATCTCTAACCAAAGTGATTAAAATTTCCATTACAGTACTCCGAACGGCCCTCGGGAAGGAGCCGTCGGATGGCCCGTGGAATGAAGAGACACTCCTCGAATGTCTGGATGGATTCTTGCTACTCGTCGATTCGGATGGCACGATACTGTACACCTCCGAATCTGTCATACTGTATCTCGGATTGACGCAAGTACGTTTAGCCATTATATCCACAAAAATTTTTTACATTTTGGGAAAATATGTTTCATGATTTTGGGGAGCCCAGATCAGATTTTTGGAATCAATTTCCTTTGCGAACACAACGTAAATTACGGAAAATCGATGGTTTTAATCGCCATTGCGGTACTTTCCCATTATCGGGGGGGTATCGATTGTCATAGTTTAAATATTGTTATTCCCAAAAGTATAAACGCTACAAAAGTATAATAAAAAAAGTAAAAAAATATCGGATTTAGAAAAAGAAAATGACCGGCTTTCATGAAAATTGCAAATTTTCTGAGGTTTTTAGAGGTTGTGCCAGCTGAAATATAGTTATTTTTTACTAAAAACCATGCTAAAATATTTTCTATTACGTTACTAGGCAATGCGGGCCTTAAAAAACCCATGAAGGTTCGAAGATCAAGAATTAAAGTGTTTCATGAATTGATGTCGTCAAACCAGGAGTCTTACCTTAATGAACCGTCTGCTTCCTATAGCATTTCTAGATTATCCTAACAAAAATCAATGGGTTTTCTGAGACATTCTTTAGATGACCGCCTGGCGAAAAAATGTTAATTTTGCATATCTTAGATTACCGATGGTTTTGGACGAGAGTAACATACCTTCAATAAGTTTTATTAAAATTCGAGACTTTGAATTCAAAGCTATTTAAGAAAATACGAGATTATAAAAAACAAACCCGAAGGCGCAGGAAAAGTGTTTCAAAAAAAAATCTTGGAGAATGATGGTTTATACTATTAATCCACCGATTTTGCTATGGTCATCATTTCCTTTTTTCAGACGGACCTCACCGGCCGCAATATGCGCGACTTTATGCAATCGGTGGATTTCGACGAGTTTGCGAGGGTCTCGGCTGAAATGGCCGGATTGGAGGATCGAGCTGTGGGAGAACAGATTGTCCTCAGAATGAAGACTGTCATATCGCCCCGGGGAAGAAATTTGAATCTGAAAGGAGCGCTTTATAAGGTAGCCCCGAAAAAAGCACTAATTAAAATATATCATTTCTAAAAAAGACCCTTTTGGGAAAAACTTTTTCTACCGGAAATTCGGGCATTTTGCAGCTTTGAAACGCAAAACGTTTCTTAGTTTTTAATTTAAAACGATAGAGTTATAATTGTAGCGGAATTTTATTTGTTGAAAATCCGTGTTTCAAAAATTCGCGACGCTCTGAAGCTTTTGTTTGGCTTAATCATTTGGAGTTCCGACAAGGCATAATTTTCCACCTCCTCTTGCTTGAGTCGTGACTATTACGGCCAAAAAAAATCAAATACATAATTGAAAATCATTTTCAATGGATCGATTTTCCCAGTTTTTTATAAATTTAATTGTTTAGCCTTTTTTAGGGCTTCGGTTTTCTTAAAAAATCTATTTCAAGAGCCGCTGAATTGCATTAACCTGTTAGAGTATCGATTTAATAAGATGGATTTTACGTTAAATATTATATTATTAATCGTTATTCTTTTTCCAGCCGGTCTCTTTCCTCGTTCGTGTGATGCACTCGGACGGGAATGCCATTTCGATCCTTCAAGGCTCCACGACCCCTGCTGGCCAGGGATCTCCCTCTGCTACCGCCAACGCATTAACGAAAAGTCAGAAATTTAGTTCGATTTAATTGTTAACTGATTTAAATTTAAATTACATTAATTAAATTGATAGAATTTCTGAAGTCAAATGTTATTTTTATGTTTTCATGAAACATTGTTTTTCAAAATTTTTCTCTGAATTTTTGCTAACGTTCTCTTGAAGCATAGTTGTTTTTATTTAGCAGAATTAACGAAACGTCGAAGGTTAAGGCAATCTAGCAAAAATCATTTGAGAATCATACATTTTCCAGACGGCGAGCCCCAAAACGGTACCTTCATGACGCGACACACCTCGGATATGCGCATCAGCTACGTCTCCGACACGTTCAACTTTATCTTAAAGGTATTTTAAACGGCCGAGAATTAGGGGCAATCTAGCAGAGATTCTTTGCGGAATATGGATTCTTTTTTCAGAATGATTCTCGATCATTGATGGGTGCCTCTTTCTACGAGCTCGTCCACCCATCAGATGCCCATATTGTCCACAAGGTTTTTTTTTTGGGACTAAACTTGCCTACCTGCAATTGTTAAGAAAATGCGACATTTTATTGCATTTTTCGGCGCAACATAATATGTTAACCTACGAAAAAGATGAATTTTCATCGTTTTTATTTGCCCGGTGGAACAAATTAAGACGATATGGCTCCTTTCGTTTTTGGTGAATCATACTTTTAGACCTCTAGACTTTTTCCAGGGTTCCTGAATTTCAAGCGTTAATGCCAGCATTTTCTAGCCCAGGGCAACATCCATTGCCATAAGATGCAATGGTTTATTTAATTTTTTTTGGCGAAACACAAATTTTATAGCTACATCATCGAGTTTTTATCGTTTTTCGAAGTTACTTACTGGACTCTCACCGTTACCAAAGCCACGTTTACTTTTGTCTTGGCGAATCCCCCTTTTGAAAACGCCGAAATTTATTATAGTACGGGATTTAACATTTTCAAACTGCAACACAATATTTATCTAGAAAAGTGTGGTCTTTTATTAGAATTTTTTTGGCGAGACATCCAGTTTTAAACGCGCGCACAGTTTCTGCTCTTTTCGGGCTGGAATTAGCGATCTGCAAAAATAGATGTATTTCGGTTTTAGTGCAACATGTTTTTTTGAGGCTTAATTCTCGGGTCCTGGAAGTGTTGTCGCGTCGGAATGACAATAAATTTTTGCATGGAATGTATCAAAAATTTCATAAGGTCTCGTTTATAAAAATTCAAACTAAAATCTAAAATTTCATTTGCAGTCAATGCGCGAGCTGTTTACGAAGGGCCACGTTCGGACGCCATTCTACCGTCTCGTCGCCGCCAACAATAATTTGGCCTGGGTGATGACCGGTATGTTTATTACGCGTATTAACCTGCACCAAATTCAACATTAATATAAGCATGCTTTAATTTTGCCAACAAATTAAAATTGTTATTCCACACAAACCAACCCAAATTAAATTTCTTTCATCAAAAATATATTTGTCAAATTTTGAAGCATCAGATTCGCCAAAAAAAATTATAACCACATCTCTTTGGTTTGGTGAATTTTTGCATCATCTAATCTGTCAATCATCATGCTTGATAACATTAAAATTAAATGGATCAAAAGAAAGACATGTATCGCCATAATTTGCCTGTTTTATCGCATCCCTATTTTATTGTTTATTTATTTGCCTATTACCAGTAAAAGCTTAAAAAAATAAGCTTTTAGCCAAACAATCATTTGTCTCAATATTTTTAAAATACGTCTAATCTCCATTTAATTCTATAAAAATAAAGGTGTATTTCTACATGATAAAGCTTGTAAGTTGGCCATTTTTCAGATGCGACAACAATCAACCACACGACCCGTGGCCAAAAGGGACAATATGTCATTTGTCTACACCACGTACTCGGGTTCGTTTTTTAAAAATATGCATTTATAAATTAGTAAAGATATATAGGAACAGTAAAAGTATAGAATTAAACTTGAAATCACCTTAATTTCCATTATTTTTTAAGAGTTCGCCATCCGCGATCGTGCAAATGCGAATTCCCGTTGAAAGAAAATCTTTCTAGGCATAGCATTTTGAAACATATTATCATAAAAGCAGTCAACCGTAACTAGCTATCATTTACATTAATGGGTAATTGTTCAAACCTTAAATTGGCAATTACTTTTTATATAATAATGATTTGTTTTGGAAGCACACGGCCTTGACCATTGTCGACTATAAAAAGAATATTTTTCTTGACGGTAATGCGAAACATAATTTCACGAATTTACTTATTTTGGTTTGTCATCGTTAATGGCCGATATTTTAGAGCAGCCGTTAATTTTGAGCCACAGGGTGGATAATTCCACTCTAAAGGAAAGGAATAGATAGGCTAATTTTTGAAACGTTGTTCTTAGGTTTCAAAAATGAAGAACAATAGGTCTAATTACTAAATTGCAAATTGAATGTTTCAAAATAGTTGCTATATGTTTGTTTTTAGGGTTCAAGGGCAAGACGAAAGTCTCGTCATTTCGACGGATAGCCAGCCGGCCGGTATTCCAGTATTGAAGGCCATCAAGACAGAACTCGATGAGGACTGTGTCGTTAAAGGTTTGTAAAAATTTACTTTGAGTCTAGCTTACATTTTTTAACATTTAATAGCCTAATTTTAAATTCCTCTGGGTAGACTTTTCCAAAAACATTATTTAATTCGAGATTAGCGTGCTGACAAGCTGCGCTTTGAATTAGTGATAATAAGAAGAGAAAAACATGGCAGATAGTTGAAACATTTATCGATTTTGGAGTATTCTAAACTGCTTTCTAAAGCCGATATATAAATTAATGATAAACATAAATGAATTACGTCTCTTCCTAAAAATGTCACGCTTGGCAGGCTAGCAGAGAAGATGGCTTATCATCGCTTGCTTTGCGGTCAAATAACTAAATTGAATTTATATTTTTTTTGTTAATCGACTTTTTGGAATATTTTTCACAACTTCCTCTCCATTTAAAAATATCCTTGATTTTACAGAAATTGCATTATAACATTGGGCAAGAGGATTTTTAATTTATATAAAGTAAATGTCATATGCTACTTTACAATCCATAAATTCCAGAACTGACCCACCGCCAGCCGGCCGTCATCGAATGCATCGATTTCACCCCATTGCTCCCGATTCCGGAACAATCCGTCAAATCCCCCGGCGTCAGCAAGCCGTTGCCATCGCCAGGTCGGTTTTTTGGTTTTGGAAATTCTATATTTCTTTTGTTCACCTTTCTTTATTTTTCTTTTTATTTTCTGCCCGCTCGGCCCTACTAACCCAATTAATTTTCGATCGTTGTGGTAGCCTGTATTATTTTGCCGGTGGTTTCGCTAATTTAACTTGCTGTCGTGAATTTTCGGTTTTTTTTAAAAATGTGTTACTCAGACATTTTAGGTTAAAAAAATATGGCGGACACAATTTTGTTATAACAAAAAAAGATTACATAGATTACCCTTCCCAGTCCCTTTAAAACTGCTAAAACCAGATAAAAACGGTCGAACAACCCCCGGCCTCCTGCCATTCGATGGGGATTGTGAATTGGATGGCTGGGATCGTGCAGTGCCTCTTCTCATCTATCCAAACACCCAACAATCACCAATTCCGCCTGAATACTATCGACATTCACCCGAACCGGCCGGGCGGCCCGTATTCAAACGGAAAAACGCCCACTCTCCACGGCCAATCATTCGACTGCGACTGGTGGATGATCTAAATGTCGCCCCGGCTACCGTATCGCCGTATCACGGGGAGCATGAGCATGAGGATGAGGATGAGGAATTGGCCCTGGATGAGACGGCCCCATTTCGGGATCGACATCGCGAGATTCCGGATGAAGTCTCCGAATTTAGACAGGTCAAAATTGGGTGATCAGGGTTTAAAGGGACCGGAAAGTCAGAAATGGTTTTTGGCACTTTGCCACGATTTTATCTTGACTTCCCGGTCCCTTTAAAATGGGATATTCCAGGAAGGCGGCAAGATCGGTTTTTCGCAAAAATAATTTTTGGACACTTTTTAGAACTCTAAATTTTGTTGAAACCTGAAAAATTTAATTCGGCAATAGTAGGACAGAAAAAACAGTCGGGCCGCGTATACGTAGTAGAAATTTGATAGTTAGCTCCAGCTCCTAGCGCCGATATTTCTGCTCCCGCTCCTCTATAAATCGACAATATATGCACTAGCCCCGGACTGGAACGGATTATCCGAAGAATATTTGTCAAATATTTACACTTTATTGAAACATTTCTTTTTCAAAAATTTTTTTAAAACCTTTCGATAGGCTCAGCCGTGGCTAGGAGGCGGCGCCTCGCTTTTTTGTGTCATTTTACTATTTAAATTCAATTTTAATCGCCAAAAAGCCTTGTTTAAGTAGGTTTTTGTATGCCCTAATAAATGTTTCTGATCACTCATATTAATGAAACATTTTAAATAACTAGTTTAGCTTTGATTGTCTTTTTGAAGTAAACCCACAAGTCTATACAGTCATTAAAAATCGCCTTTTCCTGGAAAATCCCGTAAACCCTCTTTTAAAAAACGTAACCATTTAAAATCAAGTTCGGCGATACCTCTGCCCTCCGTGCTATTTTGTGCTCCCGCTGATGAGTACTACCGTATTTTCATGTCGTAATTTGATGTTGTGTAGGGTGTACGGTAGGATACGACATATTACGGAATTCTTGATTTTACGACGTCCAAGGGCCAATTAATTTTCACCGTAACGGATAGCCCCATTATTACTACAAATTGGAAGCATAGCTCGTATTTTTCTGAAACATTAATTTTCGAAATCCCGCTTTTTGAGGTAGGAACAATTCCGTTATACACCACCATACAGTATCCGTAGCGTACCGTACACCCCGTATTGTCGCGTCGTTTTGTGTTGATTTTGCTAACCCCCCGGCCACCGGAGACACTCTGTCGCTTATGTCCAGTCTCATACTTATTCCTTGAAAATGGATGTTTTATTGATTTTTGGTGTTAGGGTCCTTGTCGAAGTAGGAATTTTTACAGATTTAAAACTTACGATACAAACAATCTTTTTCAAATTACTTGAATTTTTGCAGACTCGGAGAAGACACCTTACGACGACGTGCTGCAATGGCTATTTCGAGATCGCCCGAGCAGCCCGGCTCCGCCATATCGAGGCAAGATAGCGGGGAGAATTTGGGGAAACCGAGGGGGCAGGCTAGCGGAGATAATTTGGGAATAAACGCACGTATCGGCAAACTAGCAGGGTTTTTTCAGAGGTTTAGGTAGCGGGTTAGCAAAGATAGTCTAAGATTGTGAAGGGGCAGGCTAGCAGGGTTAATTTGGGAATTAATGTACGGGCAAGCTATTAGCAGCCCGTACATTAATTCTTGGAGGAAGTTAGTAGAAATTAAAACCCAATAAAATTATTGTATTTTCAGAGGGACACGAGAATGGGGCGCCGATTCCCGTTGGCAACTGTCAAATGGCACCTGCAGGTCAGTTTTTAAATTCCTTGAAAAGCAAAAAATAATGTTTCATAAAACCTCATTTTCCAGCCACCGTCCCCAACCGAAGAAAACACCCGCGAAGCGGCGACGATTTCGCCGAGCCCCAGTCCCGCCCAAGGACCGAATCTTTTGGAAGGGCCGATAGAAGAGGTAACGTTTTTTTAATTTCTTAACATTTATTTATTTATTTGTCTTTTTCGAGTTTTTCATAATATGTTCCAAAAAAATTATTGATACTCGTGAGTTCATTTTCATGCAATGCGGCTTGTTTTTTGATGAAAAATCTAATTCCTATTTTTCCAATTTTCTGAGCATTCTGGGCGGTAAAATTGGTATAAATTCAAGCATTCTGCTCTAATTAAATTTTGTGCAGGCACACCTAAGAATTAATATGAATGAACGTTTTCAGGAGACATCATCAACAATTGTGGCGTCGTCCCCTTCTCACCATTGGCAGATGGATTCTCTTCACAATGCGCCCTTCGATCCCCAACCTCTGCCCCCTCCCCTATCAACTCACAAACTACGGTATGGGGATACGATGGAACATTCCTCCAGGGAGAGAGTGGCTATTACAACAACTTCTTCAACCAGCAATATTAAATTTAGAGAAATCGTATTAAGCCATAGATAAATAAATATAGTTTTAGCGGTTTTAGCGATATTTTGGCGTAGAATTGATTCTAAAAATCGTTAATAAATTAGCATAATCGTCAAAATGGTGTGATTCAGAATTTTCTATCAGAGCAAACCAACCATTAACATTAAAAAAGCTTACGTTGAAACGAGAAATGTTGAAACATTTATCCAGTATTTTTTCTGGTTTCAAGTTTTAGGGTTTCTAGGTTTAAATTTTAGCGTAGAAAGGTTTATATTAAATTTTGGAAAGTTAAAATGAAACTGAAAATAGCTTAGAAAGATTTAAGCGTACAAAAAGCTTAATGTTTTTGTACGAATGTTACAGTGAAAAAGTGCGTTTCAAGAAAAATCCTAAAGTTTTCGAGATTTTTACGGCGAATTTGTATTCCCGCCTGATCCTTACACAAAAAATTGTAAATTTAACGTCTCAAAAATAATGTTTTTTTTTGAGGTTCTAGCTGCCTTAAATTATTATAATTTTAAACAGACAGCTAAACTCTTAGGAAAAAAATTACGCTATTTGCAGGAGGGCTGCCATGGTGGAGCGGGACCCTCGAGAGATATGGCAACCACACACGGCCCACGAAGTCTTCCCGCCATTCCATCAAATGGTTCGTCCACAAAAAGCTTATTGCCCGAAAAAGTCATTATCAGCAAAAAGCAAAAAAGCTGCGCGGCCGGGGATCGAACCCGGGCCATGCGAGTGGTAGACAAAGACACAACCATTTGGCCACAATGTGCTTAAAAACCGTTATTGCTCGAAAATTTGAATAGAAAGCCGTTTTTACGGTTTAAAGCTACCGTTTGCCCGTTGGCACGTCGAAACTTTCTGTCAAAAATCACATAAGTGGTCGGAAAATTTCGATTTTTAAAGGTGCATTGAAGACAAAAATATCCAAAGAATTCTATAGATTACATTTTATACGCCAAAATAAAAGTGGCAGACGGTAGATTACAGCGCCACTTTTTAAAGGACCATTGAAGGCAAAATCCATACCGAAAAAATCGTTTACGTTACGGTACAATAAGCTAAATTGTTCAATGTCTGTTAAAGAAAAAATTCGCACCCAAAACATGCATAAAATATTTATATATGCCATAAAGACGGTAGAATAAACTATAAAGCTTTAAAGGACCGTTAAAGGCAAAATCTACACCCCAAAAATTCTGGAAATTTCATAAAATCTATAAAGATATACATACTTGTTGCAGATGTTGAGCCATTGCCGTCCCGTGAGCAGCGCCGGTCCCTGCTCCCCATTATGCCTATTGCCGGTGATGAACGCATTAATGGGAGGGCCGAGAACACAACTGCCACTCCATTAAACACCTATATTCCCTCACAACTACTCATCAACAAGGCGCTCGAGGATCTCGGTTCGTTGCCAATTACCACACATTAAAAACGCAACTTTTTTGTGAAATTTGAAACACTTTTTTCAACGATGACTATGACAACTTTAAACTTTTGCGCAGCACGCTGCTTAAATTTCCTTGAATTTTTCGCTACTTAAATTAGTTTAATTTTATCTTTAAATTACGCCCCGGCAATTTTTAAATTTTTATTAGAATGCAAAAACAAAAAGCAAGTAGTCCGAATTAATTTAATAAAATTTTTCACGTTTTATTTGATAAAAATGATTTATCATTAAAGACCGTCAGAACGATGAAATATCGTTTAGAGCAAGAAAGTTGCGCACCGGGCGGGGATCGAACCCGCGATGGTTCGCTCCACAGTCCGACGCGCTAGCCACTATACCACAGGGCCGAGTGGGGAAGGGAGTCAGAGGCGCCCGAAACCCCAGAGGGTCTTTGCCCAATACGGGACACCACTAATGACGCCTCTCTCCGCGCGTTCTTGGGGGCAGCACCCTCGGGGTGACAGTGCGCGTTCCATCGTTCTGGTAGTCTTTAAGTAAATCCAATTTCAACCAATTACAAATTTCTGCTCTAATTTCGTTAAATTTCAAGGTTTCAAAAATTTTCAAAAACGTTCATCAATAACTTATGTTAATACCGCTCCTGCGCAAAACGTAATTATAAATCCTTTTTGAATTAAAATTAAATTAATGAAATGAAATGAAAATTTAATTTAAAGTCAAAGTAAAAATTAATTTATTTTTTAAATGATTGAAAATTAATTATAGTGTTATTAAGGCCATCTTTTTTTCAGATTTCCCGTTCGAAGACCTACACAGCGTCGCCCCATTTGTCCCCCAAGAAGAACTGCAGCCAATCTCCGATTCTGTGGCCACAGATTTCCAGACATTATTTCCCGATCTACCCGATTGGACATCACAAAATACAGCTATCGAATCGGCTGGCAGGCCCGGATCCGCACAACCACCTTTAATAGGTATGTAAATTAATACAAAAAAATCGTCTTCAACTGTTATTAATGCCAAAACATTGGTTTTTTTCAATTATCGGGGAGGCGATTTTTTCCTAGAAGTACAGAAATACCTAGTAGTGTAATAGGAAGCATTTTAAAAGTGTTTTTAATGCAATTTAGCGATACTTGAAACCAGAAAACTTTCCAGATAACTTTGAAAGTTTTTAATTCCGTCGAAACAAAAATCGATGTTTTTGTATTTTTTATTAAAATTTGTAAAATGAAAATGTAAAGGAATAGCAAAACGTTGAGAAGCACTTCCTCTTGAATTGTTTGAAGTGAGAATGCCCCCCCCCCCCGATAAAGCGAAAGCTCCAGAAACTCATAAAACTGTAGTAAAAGAGATAAAGTTGATGGTTGGAGAAGTTAGGTTAACTGACTAGTGACATGTTATTGCCCCGTAACTTTTTTTTGACGTCTGAAGAATTGTTAAAACAGATTTTTGCAAAAGATGTCGCGGCAAATTTAAAACCAACGCAGAAACGCCTCTTTCTAAATTTGAATTTCATACTCGGTCAGCTGGCTTAAATCATCAATTTATATTAGATGCTATTACGAGCGAGTTTATAATTACAGCGCAAAAAAGTGATAACAGAAAATATCAAAAAAATAAAAAATTCGACAGATGATGTTTTTGTCTTTTTAAACTTTTCTGAAACCTTTTATTTGCAAAAATATTTTCCGATCGAATATTGAGGGTAGTTGATTGATTAATGCTTATAAAATCTTCCTTAAAATCTATTTGACATTTCTTAGGCTCCGCCCCCATCGACGACCCGCTGCGTGCGAAGCGTAGCGGCGCGTACTACGAGGCCCCGCCCCTTCCCCCAATTTCCACCGAACACACACCCGACGACCCATCACAACTTCGTACAGCAAGCCCAAAATGGTAAGTGGGAATGGCTTTTAAGGAGCTTTTACATTATCGGTGGGGCGGGGTGGTTTAACCAGGAAAAGATGATCTGTTTCATCTAAAATAAAGCATTAGTAATTTTAACATTTTTAATAGAACTTAGCTGGAGATTGAAAGTGCAAAACGATCTAGAAACTCCAACAATTGCTGACAAAAACGAATTTTTATAAAGGAATCTTCGTCCAAAAATCGCTATTTATTGTCAAAAATCTATATTTTTGTATTTTCAGATAACCTTTGTAAATTGAAAAATTTATATAATTTTTTTATCATCATAATTAATATATTTTTCAGGTTCCCCGTTTATGCAGCCGATGACTCCGCTCTATACTCCGGACGGATGGAACTCAACGAGCGACTACTGTAGGCAGCAAATGCCCTGGGGACATACCGTACCCAACACCCACCGTATTCCCTAAGTGACGCGATCTTTTGCGATTTTAGGACGGAATTAAATTAGCGTGTTTGAGAAAAAAACTACGAATTCATGCTTTTGGGCTCGTGGAACCAATCATTTATTTTGAAACATCTTTTTCAAAATGTTGGAAAATCCATTTTAATTGTACTTTTTAAAACCTAACTTAAATATCATTAAATCGACAATTAGATAACTTAATTTATGCAGTTCAAAATATAATTTTAATTCGGTCCTGAAATTTCGAAAAAATCAAATTCCCCGTAGTCCATGTTGTGATTGGCCGTATTTTGCGTTTTCCGTATTTTTACCGTATCCAGCGGATCACAGCGGAATTTTATGCTTTTTAAAGGAACATCAAATGATTAGAAAACAAAAAGTCGAAAAATTACATTTTTCTACCGATTTTTGGCTTCAATGGTCCTTAAAATGCGTAATTTCGCGTAATTCCTCTTAGGCGCAGATTTCTACCTACCGTAGCCCCCCCCCAAGCCATACAACACAGACACAACGATCTCTTGCCCACAACAACGCGCCCCGATTTTTCTGTTATTTTTTGTTTTTGTCATTTTTGAGTTTTTTAGTTAGTCTCTGCGTGTCTTGCCGGTACCGTAGTCTCGCTCTCTCTCCCTCTCTCTGTTTCTCTCCCTCTCTCTCTCGCTCTCTCTCACTCTCTCTGTTTCTCTCTCTCCCTCTCTCTCCCATTTCCGCAACAATACAAAGTACGGTAGTACGGTAGTAGTTTCCTACGGTAGGCGCTGTGTGCTGCTGTCTGTCTGGCCACGTTGAAGTTTGTAGCCCCATTTGCCCCCAAACCCGTGAACATTTTATTTTTATTAAGTTCTTCAACTTCGCTAAATATTAAAGCTACTCCGCTAATTTTCCAATATTTCAAATCTGAAACATTTTACAAAAAAATCGAAATTTTAAGGTTAGAAAATAGTTTAATTTTGTGTTTCATCTTATTTTTCTACAATCCATCTGGTGCATTTCCTACCGTTCGCCCCCATATTTTTGTCCCCGTGAATCCACCGAATGCGTGTCTATTTCGAGAAACATACCTTTTTGTAGTGTCTACAAACATTTTCTGTGTTCATCAACACCTCCCCCTCCCCATCCACCTCCACACCCCAATTCAGATTCTGATTTTTCTTTACTTTTTATTCGGAAATTATTGTTGTGTGCGTGCGATAAAGATTCTACCCGTTGAAAATCTACAGGGTGCGCCACAAAACACTAACTAGGACAGCCTGAATAAGCCCCGACTCTGAATTGGCTGAAAATTTGCACAGAGTATGAATCGAGCACGCTGATAATCAATTCAGTCCAAATTTGCTACTGTTCTTTAAAACTCGAGATATTGACGTTTTCGTGTCGATTTTCGCCTTCGAGAAGTGCTTGCCCATGTTGCTGCTCTTTTTTATGTTAAAGTTCAAATTGATTTTAAGCAGTCTCTCTGATAGAGAAATTTTTTCTCATTCTAATGATATGTTACATTAAAGTAGGCTTCGTCTAGACGACGTCTTACAGATCTTTGAAGAAAGCTGTTTTTCACTATTTTCCATACAAAAATCGTAGTACATCGTCAATTTTTCCAATTTTCCGAGTTTTCGAAATTCTGAGCTAGAGGGCTTATTCGAAAGAGAAAAATGCTTCTGAATACAATGGCCATGTTTATTTTTGCAAAATCGGCCGGGATGATCAAAATAATCGAGCTCGAATTTTCACGATTTTAACTAAAGGCGCGCTTTAAAAGTGGCATATCTCGAGTTTTAAAGATCAGTAGCAAATTTGGACATCGAGGTGATGCTCAGCGTGGCCGATTCTAACTGTGGGCAAATTTTCATCCGATTCTGAGTCGGGGCTTATTCGGGCTGCCCTAGTTAGTGAAGTTTGGGTCAGAATATCTAGCGAACGGCAACGAATAAGGCCATGGCTACCTGCTTTTAAGATTTTTGGCGGCGAGTGGGCCGTTAAAATGTTTTAAACATTTTTGAAAAAGTGACAATTTTTGAAAGGAATGAAATGGAACTTTGAATGGAACTTTGTAGGAGTTAGGAAGAGATGAGGGGTATCTAGCTAAAATTCTTGGCGCACGCTATCAAACCAGTGGTCAAGAATATCGATTAGTTAAACTAGCCGTCAATAGGAGCATCCGGAAATTTTTGTATTTATGTATTTGTATTTATGTATTTGTGAAATTGAAACATTTTTGTAACTTTTTTAAGTTTTTTCTACTTTAACCATATTTAAAGTAGAAAAACCTTGAAAAAGTTACAAAAATGTTTGACAAGTCGAAAATTTGATCATTTTGCGTCGAAAAATCAATGTTTCGATCTAACGTTAAGATTTTAATAGAAATTTAAAAAATTCAGGCCAGCGCCGAAAAAAAGTTGGTCCCTGCAAAGAATCCACCCTAAAGAATCAATATCACTTGTTGCGGACGTAGCTATGCTTCTTGCTGCTCAGAATTTTTTAGCAGCACCCTCGCGGTGCAAGCCGCAAGGTATGATCTGTCGCATAATATCAGTTTATTACAACAAAAAATCAGTTCAAAGACACATCGAAAAACAAAAAGCAAATAGGGGACGGGTAAATTAGGGTGATGAGGGCCGTATTGCTGCTGCGGCTCTCACTCGTGCTCCGCATAGTGCTCTTCCGAGCCGCCGTGTCGCTTCCGGAACCCAAGAGCTGTCCAGATCTCGTAAGAACAGACGTAGCATGGCCCTGGAAAGCTGCTCATTCACCGTGAGGAATTTCAGTAACTAGGGAGTAGTAGTAGTAGTAGAAGAAACATAGTATTTTTCTCCAATAATTCTGTACGGCCCAATAACGAAATATAAACAACTTTTATAGTGTTTTGCACAGTTTTTAGAACTGGAAACGTTAACTAAACGTTAGAAAAAAATAGTGCAACTTTTTTACTTTTTTCTCCAAAATGTGTGAAAAATGACCAAAAAGGCTCAAAACTTCTGACTTTCTAGCGGTCACAAACTATGAAAAAAACATTCGAAAAATACACTATTTATTAGGAAATGTTTGCAATTTCCGGCCCGAAAAAATTAATTTGTTCGATCGAGAAATAAATTTTTGAAAATTTGTGGAGTATAATGGCCAAGAACGCCAAAAAAACAACAACGTGTGTATACACACGAGCAATTACAGCTTTTGCGTAGGTTCGGAAATGCCAAAAACAAAATTGGTGCCCTCGAGGCGGTCGGCACTTACGATTGGGAGTGCAGCGGGAAGAGTGGTCTGGGCTTGCCTCGTACTTTGTCAATATTTTTCTGCAAATGATTGTATAGTTCGCGTGAATTGCTTTTTATTGGGTGTAGCTCGGTTCTGGACTGTTAGCGGGGGGGGGGGTGGCGGAACCAAATTATCTCTAGGATTCTCTACGGCCCTGTAGCAACATAGAAATCGATTTTATAGCATTTTACATATTTGGTTTTCAGATAGAAAAACAATATAAAAATTTACGCTAATTTCAACTTTGTCGTCAAAATTGTATGAAAAATGCCCAAAAAAGTCAAAATTTTCGAATTTGAAAAAGAATTTTTATAACTTTCTAGCAAAAAAACTATTAAAAACACTATAAAAATTAATTACATATTATCAACAGGTATATGTGGAAATCGCACTCCACCCCCCTAAAGATCCCCCTCCGCTAACAGACCAGAACCAAAAATTCCGCAGGCCGCGGACGTGCCCGTTTCTGACGATTTACGTATCTATCGAAAGCTTTCGGCAAGGCCGGTCCAGCACGGCCTTTCGGTTCTCAATATTTTGAAATTTTTTCTGCTGCCAATATTTTTGCGAAACGGACGGACGTTCTGATGTTTATCTGACCAGGGGATTTGACACAATTCACAATCTAAGAATGTTTACGCCTTTCCTGGCAGCTTGACGGCCAGCTTGTTGAAATCCGTTTTCGAAAACCCCTCTTGGATAGCGCTTAAACTGGATAAATTGAGTTTTTCACCAAAAAAACCGGATAGTTTTCGTCCGGCAAATGTCGAAAGTTGAGCAAAAATTCACAAATATCGAAAATCGGAGCTACATACTGGACTCACCTTTCCGAGAGCTTTCGATAGATACCCATATAGTAAAAATCGGATAGGTCTGCGGTCGGTCTATTTGTTGGGACAGAGAAAGGGAGATAGAGAGAGAGAGAGTGAGTGAGAGATACAGAGAGAGAGCGAGAGTGAGTGAGAGAGGGAGAGTGAGAGAGAGACAGAGAGAGAGCGAGAGTGAGTGAGAGAGAGGGTGCGTGAGAGAGTGAGAGAGAGTGCGTGAGAGAGTGAGAGAGAGGGAGAGAGTGAGTGAGAGAGAGTGAGTGGACCTACCCAAAACATTTGACATGGCTTGCACAGGCCGGCTCCACAAATCGCACCGACACATCTTGCTCCCCTTTCTCTGGTGGGCAGATCGTGCATCGCCCCGGCTGAATGGCAAACTATGCTAAGAGCCTCAGAAGTCAAATCAACCTGTTGGCTCAAAAACTAACAGGTTCACTTCCGGGAAAACCAGAAAATTGTTTTCTGTGCGCAAAAATTCGATGAAAAAGAAGTTTTTTAACACCCCGGCATTCGATCCATCGTCCCCGATATATCGATCGATATAGATGATCTCAGATATAAAATGCGTAAGTGTTTCTCTTTTTTGCCGAATCCTAGGAGTAAAAACTTTGCAGATGTTTATTGAAAAGTTCCAAAAGACGCAATTTTCAATTGTTTGGCTAATTGCCAGGAATCAACGGGGTGGGGAACCAGGGGAACCACCACCTTGACAGCTTACCTCATATTCACGGCGACGGCCCAGCTTTTTGAGGGAGACGACAGGATGAGCCGGTTGCTGCAAAGAGTGTCGTGAGAGAGCGCAAGAGAGCAAAAATCGACACCTTGACAGATATACAGAAAGACAGAGGGAGGGAGAGAGATAGGGGGAGAGAGAGAAAGCCAGATCGAGAGAGAGAGAGCGAGAGAGAGGGAGAGAGAGAGGTAGAGAGAGAGAGAGAGAGAGAGAGAGAGAGAGAGAGAGAGAGAGAAAGAGAGAGGGAGAGAGAGAGAGAGAGAGAGAGAGAGAGAGAGAGAGAGAGAGAGAGAGGGAGAGAGAGAGAGAGAGAGAGAGAGAGAGAGAGAGAGAGAGAGAGAGAGAGAGAGAGAGAGAGCGAGAGAGATGTCTTCGGGCCATGGTCTTTTAAAGGGACCAGGAAGCCCCACAGGCAGACCGCCTACGAAACACTCCAATCAACGAGAATCTCGCCGCCCTTCGCGTGGTCACATTGCAAGGCCAGAAGCCAAAAAATCCCCGGGCTTCCGGGCCCCTCCAAAATCCATTTATTCAAAGAAATGCGAAGCTAGTGAAGTAAAGAAGTTGTTAGTCAGAAGTAGGTAAACAGAGATGTTAAAGATGTTGTCAATGATAAAGCGAGCACAAGACTGGAAGGGCAAGGGACATCATTCTGTTCCGTCTCTGGGAGTTCTCCCATAAAAAAAGATTCAATACCAAACTCTCAAAAAACCGTGAACAATAGCCAGGAAGGCGGTTGGTACATTAGCGTATGGTTCGGCGAAAGCCCCAGAGACGGACAGATAGGGTGGGCAAGTGAGGAAGAGAGAGACAGGACGAAAATCGGGAAAAGACGGTGCTTGTTCGGTAAGTTGTGTGTTGCGGGTTGGGGATGTTGCTTCTCGAGACCTCACACCTCATCAGTATCTGGCGCATCCTGCTCCGGTTCGTGCTCTTGCTGGCCGCTGTGCGGCTTCATCTCGTCGCTGCCAGTCCCAGCACCAGTATCCAATCGGCCGGCCGCAGTGACACCAATAACCGGGGGAAACGTCTGCAAAGAGTAAATGTAAATGGGTCGTCAATGGTTCTGCTAAGCTAAGCCCCGGCCAGGCCTGACCTAAGCCGGGGCTAAACCTAAGCTAAGCCTAAGCTAGGCACAAGCTAAACCTAAGTTAGGTCTAAGGTAAGCCCGGGGTTAAACCTAAGCCAGGCTTAAGCTAAGACCATGCCAAGCGCACCAATGCCGAATCGTAGCTTGTAAAAGTTTGGCGCCTTGAAACCGTAAAAACAGCTTAGAAATATTAAAAAATGAGACGCTACGAAAAACTGCTAGTGTACCTGTACCGCTTACTTGCATGTTAAGTGGGAGGTTGATGTTCGGCTGCGACAACTCGCCACAAATCTGCTTTTTGTCAGATTCTAGGGCTTCCACGGCGGTCTTGATCGCCCTCCACGCAGTGGTTTTGTCGTTGACCTAGAATAAATTATATATATATATATATATATATATATATATATATATATATATATATATATATATATATATCAAATTGTGTTGTAATTAAAACTAGAAGTACATTTTCTATACTCTAACTCTATACTATAAAAATAACCATCAATAATGGTTACAACCTTTATGATTATGAATGTTTTATCCCATACCTCTTTCAGAAAGTCGGCGTACAGCTCGTCCAGTTCGGTCTTCAGTACGTCAATGTTCGCGATCAGGGCAGGTCTGTCAATGTTCTCCCAAACGTTCAACTTCTATAAATCACAAATACAATACCATCCAATAATGGTGTGTTTTACCTTTAGAAAATCCTAATCCTCACCGATCTCTGCTAGCCTGTCCCCCCTTGCCCCTCTCATCCTCAATGATCTCTGCTAGCCTGCCCCCCCTTGCCCCTCTCATCCTCAATGATCTCTGCTAGCCTGTCCCCCCTGCCCCTCTCATCCTCAATGATCTCTGCTAGCCTGTCCCTCTTGCCCCTCTCATCCTCAATGATCTCTGCTAGCCTGTCCCCCCTTGCCCTCTCATCCTCAATGATCTCTGCTAGCCTGTCCCCCCTTGCCCTCTCATCCTCAATGATCTCTGCTAGCCGCCCAACCGCCAATTCCGCTCAGATTTCACCTCATGAAGAGCGTTCATCGGGATGCCGTCGAAATCCTGGGCGGCTTGGTAGGCGAGGGTGATGCTGAGAAGCTGATCGTCATTGAGCGCTTGTTGGAAATTCTTGTTCGGGGTCGGCTCGCGGATCTGAAAACATTCGTGTGGATGGGAGCAGGCGGGGGGGGGGGGTCCAGAAATGCTTAATATCTTAAGATTGCTTTTTCAAAATGTGATGATATCGCGAGTGGCAATGCAACCGAAACATTCGAAAATTTTCGTTAGGCATAATCTTGCTAGACAATCGGCACGTTTGGTCGAAAAATCGTTACATTTTGTATGTTAGAGCTAGAGTTGAGTTTTCAGTTTCAAAGTTTGCCCCTTAGGGCTAGTAAAAAACAGCTTAGCTATCGTCATCACAGGTGGCCGGCATGGAGTTCCGGGCCGCCCGGCGTCCAGGTCGCCGAGGTGCGCTTCGATCCACGTGGTGCGAATCAGGTGTTGTTTCGACAGATAAGCGTGGGCGAGGCGGCTTTCAACTGACATCCAAACGAGAGTCTGAAAAGCATGTTTAAAAACCCGAAGGCGGGTACGGGGTGGGGGGCAAATTCACCGTCCATTAGAGAGAGAGAGAGAGAGAGAGAGAGAGGGAGGGTGAGAGAGAGAGAGAGAAAGAGAGAGAGAAAGGGGGAGAAAGGCCGATAGAGCTAGAGAACCCTACTTTAGTCGAGAGTTGCTCTTCCTGGTGTGCGAGTCGGCGCCGCACCCGATCGTACTTGGCCCATGAAGTCTGATGCTTTTCCTGTAGCGATGTCACGTCAATGGGTTTCTGGCGAGGCTGCAAAAAATACGTTGTCTTTTGAAAACGAGGGAATGTGGAAGGGAGCAGCAGAGAGGGTCCCTAGCCAAAAGTGAGTCAACAAAAGCCACAGGAGCCAAGCGTCTAATTTAACGTATTGCCAACCAAATTATCAATTTGAATACAGTCACACTCTACGAAAAAAAGAGGAAGGCAGACACACAGACAAACAGAGAGACCCACGGGCATATCAGTAATTAGTCCAATATCGTGTGAGGCGAGTGAGGTGGGAGAATCAAGCGTTTAGCGAGAAATCAGATGTGAAGATCGGCTTCCCCATGCGACGCATTCTTTTATACCTGAACTCGCGCGTAAATCACGGAAAACTACCGGCGATGCTAATAGCGATGCAAATCAGAACGCAAATCAATCAGAACGCAATGCAAATCAGAACTTTTTGCGCACCTAGCCGTACTTCTTGCGCACGTAGAAAGACTTCTTGCGCACGTAGAAAGACTTCTTGCGCACGTAGAAAGACTTCTTGCGCACATAGAAAGACTTCTTGCGCACGTAGAAAGACTTCTTGCGCACGTAGAAAGACTTCTTGCGCACATAGAAAGACTTCTTGCGCACGTAGAAAGACTTCTTGCGCACGTAGAAAGACTTCTTGCGCACATAGAAAGACTTCTTGCGCACGTAGAAAAACTTCTTGCCCACGTAGAAAGACTTCTTGCGCACGTAGAAAGACTTCTTGCGCACATAGAAAGACTTCTTGCGCACGTAGAAAGACTTCTTGCGTACGTAGAAAGACTTCTTGCGCACATAGAAAGACTTCTTGCGCACGTAGAAAGACTTCTTGCGCACATAGAAAGACTTCTTGCGCACGTAGAAAGACTTCTTGCGCACGTAGAAAGACTTTTTGCGCACGTAGAAAGACTTTTGCGCACGTAGAAAGACTTTTGCGCACGTAGAAAGACTTTTGCGCACCTTTCTGTACTTCTTGCGCACGTAGAAAGACTTCTTGCGCACGTAGAAAGACTTTTTGCGCACCTTTCTGTACTTCTTGCGCACGTAGAAAGACTTTTTGCGCACCTTTCTGTACTTCTTGCGCACGTAGAAAGACTTCTTGCGCACGTAGAAAGACTTCTTGCGCACGTAGAAAGACTTTTTGCGCACGTAGAAAGACTTTTTGCGCACCTTGCTGTACTTCTTGCGCACGTAGAAAGACTTTTGCGCACCTTTCTGTACTTCTTGCGCACGTAGAAAGACTTTTTTGCGCACGTAGAAAGACTTCTTGCGCACGTAGAAAGACTTTTTGCGCACGTAGAAAGACTTCTTGCGCACGTAGAAAGACTTCTTGCGCACATAGAAAGACTTCTTGCGCACGTAGAAAGACTTCTTGCGCACATAGAAAGACTTCTTGCGCACGTAGAAAGACTTCTTGCGCACATAGAAAGACTTTTTGCACACCTTGCTGTACTTCTTGCGCACGTAGAAAGACTTCTTGCGCACATAGAAAGACTTTTTGCGCACGTAGAAAGACTTTTTGCGCACGTAGAAAGACTTTTTGCGCACCTTTCTGTACTTCTTGCGCACGTAGAAAGACTTCTTGCGCACGTAGAAAGACTTTTTGCGCACCTTTCTGTACTTCTTGCGCACGTAGAAAGACTTTTTGCGCACCTTTCTGTACTTCTTGCGCACGTAGAAAGACTTTTTGCGCACGTAGAAAGACTTTTTGCGCACCTTTCTGTACTTCTTGCGCACGTAGAAAGACTTTTTGCGCACGTAGAAAGACTTCTTGCGCACGTAGAAAGACTTTTTGCGCACCTTTCTGTACTTCTTGCGCACGTAGAAAGACTTTTGCGCACGTAGAAAGACTTTTTGCGCACCTTTCTGTACTTCTTGCGCACGTAGAAAGACTTTTTGCGCACGTAGAAAGACTTCTTGCGCACGTAGAAAGACTTTTTGCGCACGTAGAAAGACTTCTTGCGCACGTAGAAAGACTTCTTGCGCACATAGAAAGACTTCTTGCGCACGTAGAAAGACTTCTTGCGCACATAGAAAGACTTCTTGCGCACGTAGAAAGACTTTTTGCGCACGTAGAAAGACTTTTTGCGCACCTTGCTGTACTTCTTGCGCACGTAGAAAGACTTCTTGCGCACATAGAAAGACTTCTTGCGCACGTAGAAAGACTTTTTGCGCACGTAGAAAGACTTCTTGCGCACGTAGAAAGACTTTTTGCGCACGTAGAAAGACTTCTTGCGCACGTAGAAAGACTTCTTGCGCACATAGAAAGACTTCTTGCGCACGTAGAAAGACTTCTTGCGCACATAGAAAGACTTCTTGCGCACGTAGAAAGACTTCTTGCGCACATAGAAAGACTTCTTGCGCACATAGAAAGACTTCTTGCGCACGTAGAAAGACTTCTTGCGCACATAGAAAGACTTTTTGCGCACGTAGAAAGACTTTTTGCGCACGTAGAAAGACTTTTTGCGCACCTTTCTGTACTTCTTGCGCACGTAGAAAGACTTCTTGCGCACGTAGAAAGACTTTTTGCGCACCTTTCTGTACTTCTTGCGCACGTAGAAAGACTTTTTGCGCACCTTTCTGTACTTCTTGCGCACGTAGAAAGACTTCTTGCGCACGTAGAAAGACTTCTTGCGCACGTAGAAAGACTTTTTGCGCACGTAGAAAGACTTTTTGCGCACCTTTCTGTACTTCTTGCGCACGTAGAAAGACTTTTTGCGCACGTAGAAAGACTTCTTGCGCACGTAGAAAGACTTTTTGCGCACGTAGAAAGACTTCTTGCGCACGTAGAAAGACTTCTTGCGCACATAGAAAGACTTCTTGCGCACGTAGAAAGACTTCTTGCGCACATAGAAAGACTTCTTGCGCACGTAGAAAGACTTTTTGCGCACGTAGAAAGACTTTTTGCGCACCTTGCTGTACTTCTTGCGCACGTAGAAAGACTTTTTGCGCACCTTTCTGTAGTTCTTACGCACGTAGAAAGACTTCTTGCGCACGTAGAAAGACTTCTTGCGCACGTAGAAAGACTTTTTGCGCACGTAGAAAGACTTTTTGCACACCTTGCTGTACTTCTTGCGCACGTAGAAAGACTTTTTGCGCACCTTTCTGTACTTCTTGCGCACCTAGCTGTCTTCTTGCGCACGTAGAAGGACTTTTTCAAGATGTGCCATCTGACGAAACGAATTTCCACTGCGACCATAAAAGGGTTACAGTAAGGATCGATTTTCCGCTACACTTTTCAATGACACTCCTTCCATCTTGACAGTTTTATCGTCCCATCTCCATTCCCCGCAAAGTATTTTCGTGGCGGGAAAATGGCCGAGTTTATTGGGTTGCCATGGGAAGAAAAAAAAGGGGGTGGAAGTCATTCAAACCCCCAAACCCTCTTTCCCGTTCCCCACATTCCAAATGAGGCCTACTGCAGTTTTTGCATGCTTTTTCCTTTTCAAGTTGTCATACAGTAAAAAATTATTTTAGCGGGTTCGGCGGAACCGAATTCTTTGAATAATTCTAGAACTCTCTGGTAGGTGTTCATAGCAGCGTGTTGAATTGACTTTCATTCAATCATCGAATCCAGTTCAAAGATTTTAAAAAGTTGTAAGTTGTGGCCGAAATTTGCTCATCTTTTTTTCGATAAAGTGACGGCTTTTTGAACGAGCTAATACCATCAGTTTGAACCACGCTGGCTGCTGATTTTTGGGAAAAATAATATTGTAAAGGCTCTTTGATTCCGGTTTCACTCGTATGCCATCAGCAATATGTGGGTTGCGTATGGGGTGCATGGGGGGCATAAACAAAAATTTTTTGGGCCCAAATTTCCGTGCCCCGGGGCCATTAATCGGCTACGATATTTCCGGTCTTCGGGCGGCTAATCCCCCTCTACCAGGGTTCGCGGGCGGAGCCCTTTCAGTTCCCATCCGCATTTTCGCTCCGGGATTTAATTCCGATCTGGAAATAAAAAGACTGCCATGCATTAAAGGCTTAAAAACATTATCCTACTATATATAAAAAAATAGTGTCTGTGTGTGCCACTTTGCAGGCAACTTCCGTCACCGTGTTCCAGTTGTATCTCAAGAAGGAGAGTAGTTGGGTCATGTTTGATACGTCATTAGATGCGTAATGGGCTGGAGATGACTGCACGCATATCAAATTTATCACAATGGCTTATTTTCGACATTAAATTTTAGTTTTTGTTGTAAAATCCGAGACCCTCTTTGTTAGGAATCAATTAGCATATACCGGAAGTTGCGGTAGCCTATATAAAGGAGCAGAGAACGCATTTTTCATTTTTTTTCTAGCATGGGTCGGACCGAATTATGCAAAGTGTAAACTTTCATCGGTCCAAAACAGGGCCAGGGTTGAAAAGTCGCGAAGCGTACTTAAAAATATCGCAATAAATCCTATCATCTTGTGTGTTTCTTTTCTGTATTGACGGTTTCTCGGCCGTCCGGTCGAATTTTTGGCTGCTTTTTGGCATGCAGGTGGGAAATGCCACGCACGAAAAACGGTTTTTGAATTCTTCGAAATCCCTTGATTTCGTCTAAACCCATTTCGCTTAAGACCCAATTCGCCTAAACGTATATTTTTGTGGTATTTTAATACTAATTGTAAAGTTTTTGCGTCCAGGATTAGAAAATATTCAGAAACACGTTTAGATTCATATTGGAAAAATGGATACTGAGAAGCAATTGGTCCCCCCGACAAAATCTCCTCCTCCTCTCCTCTCCTCAAAAATCTCTGCTAGCCTGCCACACTCAGCTAAACGTTTGCTTCGCAGCTAAAAGATAAACTTTTAATGGCCGAATTCCGTTTGTGTACGGGCTAATGACGAGTGATTATTATGTTCCCGAGCGTTTATCATTTATTTGGCTGTCGCCCCTATTAATCAGCAATTAGAGAGAGAGAGAGAGCAGAGAGAGAGAGAGAGAGAGAGAGAGAGAAGGGAGAGTGCGAGAGAAGAGAGAGACAGAGACAGTGAGATACACCAAGGTCAACCCCTCACTTCTCAAAACCCCTACAAAAACAATGCACCCATACCAACTCTCGCTATGTTTACACCCTGATTTGCTTAGATTTTTTAATTTAATTCTTCTATCTTTTTAATTAGGTAATTTCCTAGATTTTGCGGTGATATTTCCAGCGCAACATGCATTTTTGAGATATTTTTGCATTCTTCAAAATCATTTTATATTTCTATAACGTTAAATTAGCGCTCTCAATTCCTTATAACCGCTGAATTTTTGTGTAAAAAAAATGTCAATATTTTTGTAGTGAGTACCCCATATTACTCATTCCATTCCGCCCCGTAAAAAGGCGTGTCCCGTTGTCGCGTAGCCTCTCGTAAATCATTCGAAAAGAAGAGGAAGAAAAAGGGGGGCTAGCAAGCACCCTTCAACTTCTCTCAAGTACTCCCATCCACATCTATTCACACCCAATAGATATCTCCACTTTTAGGCCATTTTAAGGTTTTTCAAATGATCTCTGCTAGCCTGCCTCTTGCTAAAGAATCTCTGCTAGCATGCCCCTTCCTAAAGAATCTTTGCTAGCCTCCCTGGATTTCCACAAAAATCATTGCTAGCCTTTTCAATGCGGAAAAATTTTAGTGTTCCATTTTTAGTGTTATTAAAAATTTCTGGAAGGGATAATACCATTTTAAAGGCGCTGTGAAGTAATAACGACTACAAAGACAACTATAGACTTTAATTTAAACCCCCAAAAAAGCCCCTGGAATGAATCAATAGCCCGTAAAGGTGTGTTCTCTTCTTCCCGGACGGGAGCATTGTGTTGAGGAATTCACGGGATGGCTGAGGACAATGAGGAGCACTAGCCTTCTCTCTCTCTCTCTCTCTCTCTCTCTCTCTCTCTCTCTCCCTCTCTCTCTGCCTCCACTCTCTCGCTCGACATGCTCTAATTGGAGGCCGTTTTGCGTGGAAAACGACGAGGCACACGAATTGCTTCTAGAATCGCGAATGGCGCTAGAGCCGCTAGGGCATTAAGGATTCTTGAGTTCCGAAAAGAAGCTTTGCTAGCTTGCCTCGCTTTTCTAATGAATCTTTGCTAGCTTGCCTAGCCTGGACTTTCTAAAAAAATCTCTGCTAGCTTGGCTAGCCTAGGCTCCAACGCTACCAGAATTTCCTAAAGAATCTCTTCTAGGACGCCCTTTCCTAAATAATCTCTGCTAGCCTGCCTTGCTTCCATTTCCCAAAGAATCACTGCCAGATTACCCTCTTTCTTAAAGTATCTATGCTAGCTGGCCGCGTATAACCGGATATCGGCCGGACTTCCCAAGGAATCTCTGCTCGTTTCCCGCTACGCTCCCCAAAGAATCTCTGCTAGCCTTCCTTGCTCATTTCTTGTTTTTTCGATAAATTATCGATTCATGACGCCCTAACAGAGAAGCTATATTAATTTTACCCGCCTCACCCGGGCCTAGAAATTTTTTGCAACACATCCTATCCTATAAGCGAGAAAAGTATGTGTGTTTTCTGTGCAGCCAGTTTCTCGGCCGTCAGGCCGAATTTTGCGCTGATTTTTGGCATGGAGGTGGAGAAACGCATTTGCCAGAAACGCATTTTTTTGTTTTTCGAAACTCCTCTATTTAACGATTTTACAAACAAAATGGTGAAAATCCTTAACAAAATGGGCTGCGAGCCGTGGTGTCCAGGCCATAACTCGAAGCGCTGATGGAATTTCGGTCTGTAAGTTGGACCACGTATGCATTCGATAGTGGGGATCACGCGCATCTTATTATTTTTACAAATTTTTGGCGCATTCAAAATAAAAAAAGCGATTTTGCTAAAGTACTAGAAGTCCTCCCGCCCAGGTTGAAACCCGCCCCCAGGATCGAAGAGGCCTTCCGCCTCCCTTCCCCATGCCCCCTTTGGTATAGTGGCTTGACGCCCGGTCTACCACGCACATGGTCGAGGGTTCGAATCAGGGACGTAGCTTAAGGTGGGCCCCCTGGGCCCGGTGCCCCGCTCCCCCGAAATCGGCCGGGGCCCGAAAATTTCATAAGGGGGGACCCTTATGATTTTTATTTTCTCAAAAATTTTGCTTCCTGCGGCGCTATTTTTTCACGTTTTTACGACTATTTGTAGAGCTACATAGCCTTGTTTCTCATTTTTTGGCCTGCGGCGCTGTTTTCTTTTTAATTGTTTGAGTTTTTCGGAAAAAATTTTTCGGGGCCCCCCCGAAATTTTTTTCTGGCTACGCCCCTGGTTCGGATCCTCGGCAAATTTACCTTTTTGCTTTTTGATAGTTCAACAACAAAACATATTTCGAGGCTCTCGGTATCCGGAATTTAGGCCAGTCCCTCGCTCTAGCGCCGCAGGCCAAAAAATAGGTCCTTGGCCCGGGTTCTAGCGCCGCAGGCCAAAGAAAAGGGGCTTGGCCTGGGCTCTCGCGCCGCAGCCTAAATTCTGGAGAAAAACCAGTAGCTAGCGCCGCAGGCCAGAGAACGGTTTCTAGAGTCAGGTTCTCGCGCCGCAGGCTTGAAAAACGGAAGGGGAATATATGGTTCCTAGACGGGGACCAGTGGAAAAGGGCCGCGAAGCGGTCATTTTCCACTGGTTATTTTCATACACAAGTTTCCTATTTTTCATCGATTTTACACATTTTTGCTAACATTATGATTTAGATACAACGTCTATATTTAGATTTCCCAGCCCCAAAATGGGTCGCCCCTCATCGTATTGGCATCAAAAGTCTCTGCTCATCGCCGGTTTCTTCTTTTCGATCAATATCGTGGCCTCAGTATTGGCATGTGCTGTCTGGGATCTTCATGCTCATCCGGCTATTCATAATTTATTGTATATAGGTAAGTCGTGGAATATAAGAAATTAAAGGGACCGGAAAGGTGCGATTTTTCGGCTTTGTGGGTCTTGATTTTGCCGCTATCGCGATACGCAACGCGCCAGCCTGGGCTAAATCCATAGAAAATCTATAGCCTTCCATTGTCTGTCCCTTTAAATGGTCTAAAAAATAAAAATTGGCCGACTGAACATCAAAAGCTGAAAGGCCTAAAAGGCCGGTACTTGAGCATTATCGGGGGCCTAATTTTTCTTCTGAGTCCAGAAATGCCTATCGACGTAATATGAAGGGTTTTAATGGCTTTTTTAGTATAATTTGACTTTATTTCGGGCTGCAAAAAATTTTTAAGTTTGCAATTTGCAAAAACTTCGAAGTTTGGCTCGAAAAGCGATAGTTTTGTCTCCTTCGGAAAATTTGTAAAATTTTTGCGGTGGTGGATGGATGGTTTTGCGGTGGTTTGTGGTGGTGGTGGCTGTTGAAAGGCTAAGCTAAGTTTTTCAAGCCCATTCAAGCCCGGGAAAGGTTGCTTAACGGGAGGGGGAGCTTGTTGATTCTAGCTTCAAAATCGGACGGAGTAAAAGGGTGTGATAATTTTGAAAACTAGAAAAGTTGCTTCCACCCCCGGTATTTCCCCCCCCCGTTAATGGGAAAGTACCTGAATTTTCCCAATTTGCAGGCGGTCTCCTCTGCTCCTTTCTCCTAAATTCCCTCATCGCCCTTGCCCTCTATTTTGGCGTCCGCCATCAGAAACCGACGCTTATGATGCCGTATCTCGTATCGGCCACTATACACTTAATATTTAGGTATAAAAATAGCTTTAAACTTATTTATATAAATTTCACTTTAATCTCTACAAACTGTAAAAATTTTCAGCCTCGGCGCCGCTTTTCTGTGCCTCATCTCGCTGCTCGACCACATGTTTGCCGGCAATGATTCGGCTGATTTATACGGTAAGCTGAAGCTTGTGCATTAGCGGGGGGGGGGGGCTTTCCAAGTATCGAATTTTTCTGTTCTACCAACGGAAGCTTTATACGTAAAAATAAGAAAATTATGCTAAAAGACACGAAGTCAAAATATTTAGAGTAAAACGGACGATTTTCGCCGAAATTTTCGATTATTGTACGTTTGAGAATTTTTTAGATGATCTTTTCAAGTTTTAAAAGTTTAAAAGTGAAAAACGAAATAATTTTTTGTTGAATATATAGAAAAAAATATCGATTTTTAGGTGGAATAATCAAACCTTAAAACAAATATTACACCAAAAATTTGAAACTTTAATTTTCAACTCGTATGGTACTCGTACTTTAAATGTTTTGAAGGAGTTTTAGCGCGATTTTCAGGTGTGATCGGTTTCTCGGTGTTGTTCATCTTCTGGTTGGTCACCCTCCATATTGTGGCCCGGGAAAGGGATGAAATTCGACAATTAAATGGCCATCAACGACTCGTCCCCGAATATTTATAAATCGTCGTTTTTTTTGTGTTTTTTTTGGCGGTTCTATTGATTTTGTGGCGATGCGGGTCTTTTTCAACCAAATAAAATGTTTTAAAAATAAGCAAAAATCGCAATAATACGCCGGTGCCATCTGTCAAAAATTTAAAGATTTAATAAAACTAATAATAGGTAAGCTAATCATTTTTTAAATTTAAAATTGCTAATATAAACAAACAAAGAAAGCGAGGAAATCTGGTTCTTTTCCGTTATCGGGGGGGGGGTGTAAAAATTTTTTCTATGTATAAACCCAAAAATGCCTTTCAACATGCTGGGCTCGTGCTGCCCCCCAATAATGCCAAAGCTCCGAACGCTCAAATGAAGTAAATTGAGTAAATAGAGCCCCCATGACTCTAAAACATTTAAAAAAATTTTATTGTTGACTTTTGATAAAAAAAGCATGTTTCAAATATTTTCATTGTTTTGGAAAAATTTAGGTCGCTAGGTTTTTGCCACAAGCTATTTGCATATTTGCGAGATGCATATTTTTCAAATCCGGACCATATGCCAGTGCTTAGAAACTCGTCATTTTCCTGTTTTTGACCAGCCGATCTACTCGACTCGATCTACTCGCAAAAATGATGGAAGCCCTTCTCCGTCAGTTGATGTGGGTCGGAATATCGGATTTTTTGAGGCTCGGGCAAGCTAGCAGTGGTACTTGGACTTCATTTCTGGGATGAAACATTTTCTTTCCACTTTCTGAGCAAAAAGCCAAAAATTACCGCCCGGGGGGATCGAACCCGGGTGGCGTGGGCGGGAGCCTGGCACACTACCACCTAGCCACGGAGGCAAAAACCTGAAAGCAACGATTTTCTTGTTCAGGATGCAGGCGATGAGCAGCCACCAGCCGGCCGTCAACAAGCTCGACCATCCCGACACGGCCGAGACGGTCAACATTTCGTCGTTGCCGTTGCTCAAGATGTTGAAACACGCTAGGTAATTAATATTAGAGTATTTTTAATGAATTTTGGTTTCTTCTTCCAGGTATACTTTTTGAAAAATCTGTGAAAAATGACGAAAATGGTCAAAATTTTCGAATTTTCAAGATTTTTAGAATATTGATGTAAAAATGTTGTGATCTTTCTTTAACTTTCTAGCAATCAAAAAATACAAAAACACTACCAAAATACACTTTTTGTTATTAACAGGCGGCAACAGTAGGCGTAAAAACCAAAAATACCCCCCCCCCCGCTAACAGTCCAGAACCCGCTTCTCTTCAACAGTAATGCCGCACTTTCCTTGTTTACAGGAGTGGTGTCCCTCTGGAGGTGATGGGCCTCCTTCTCGGCACTTTTGTCGACGACTTCACGGTGAACGTCGTCGACGTGTTCGCCATGCCGCAGAGTGGCACGGTAGCGGGGTGTTTAGGGGAATAAATATATCCCTTAGCGGTCTGTTGGAAGGAATACCATTAGAAAAACTTGATTCATGAAGTCCTGAATTATAAAATCGCTCCAAACGGCAATTTCCTCTTGGCTAATTGGTAGTTTGGTTGCCTCCCACCCGCACTACCCGGGTTCGACCCCCGGCCCGCAGCAAAACTTTTTGCTTTTGGTTAGTACCTCGAAAATTCGTAGATTTTGAAGAGTTTCGTTTTGGCAAGCTAAAAATCGGTACTTTCGCATTAACGGGGGGGTGAGGGCGAGACTTTTTTCTAGAAGCCCAGAAATTCGTGGTAGCATAACAACCAGAGTTTAATAAGATTTTTAGCAAAAATAATGAATTATTACGGGGCAAAACTATCTAAAAAGGATCTGAAATTCCCAATTCTGACCGAAAAGGCTATATTTTTTATTTTTTCAAAAAAATTGTTTTTCGGGCTGTGATACCCCCCGCTAATGAAAAAGGTCCCAAAAACCTTGGCGTTTAGTCGGTGAGCGTGGAATCTGTGGACCCGATCTACCAGGCGCATATGCTGGAAAAGCTGAAGCAGACTGGACGTGACGAGCTCGTTGTGGGATGGTAGATGCTCATCTGAGTAGAGGCTAATCATGTCTGTTAAGGTACCACTCTCATCCGGGTTTCGGTTGTTGGCTATCGGATGTTGATCAGCAGACTCAGAAGTCATTTGAAGCCCTCCACCACCGGGCTATCGCCATCGTCGTCGATCCCATCCAGTCCGTCAAGGGAAAGGTACCCACTTGGTTCAATTTTTGGCTTGAATGGATACTAGGCTGTTAGCCGGGGGGCATATTTCATTAGAAATAGTTTATGCTATTTTCCTGTTTTTTTAATAGTTTTTGAGTTGTAGAAAGTTACACAGGTTATTTTAAAAAATCCCGAAACATTTTAAACATTATTTTAATATGAAAGCTAGGAACACAAGATAAAGAAAAATACTAGGAAAATACCCTTCAAAAGTAATAGTTTATTTGTTGCAAAAATCCCGATTTTCTTTTTTTTGTGCAGGTGCTTCTGGAGGCGTTCCGTCTCGTCGATCTGATGCATCTGAATCCGAAGAGTCTCGCTCCGACTGGTGAGGCGCGACAGGTAAAATCACCCCTGTCACCATCCCTTTAAACGGACTTCTAGACGACGTCGAATCTCGGATACGTCGACGAGGAGGCCGCCATGTCTCGGAAGAGGGAGTCGAAGAAGTGAGTGACATGATCTCTCTCTCTCACCCTCACGCTCACTCTCTCTCTCTCGCTCTCGCTCTCTCTCTCTTTTGAAATTTTTTGAAAATAAGCCCTGTTTAGATACTACAATCTGGTGGTGAACTACCGTACGACGGAGAAGGAGCGGAAGATGTTGTCTTGTCTCGATCGGCATAGCTGGGTGGATGGATTGAGGATTGGAGGATATAGGAAGAGGTGCAATGCCAATACCGACACTCTCGAGGAGATGACCAAGATGGCTGGACATTTTGGAAAGGTGGGAGAGAGAGAGCGAGAGAGAGAGAGCGAGAGAGAGAGTGGGGAGAGAGAGATAGAGAGAGAACGACCCCCCCCTTTTCAGGACGTGATCGAGATGGGCCCGTCCCGCAAAAAGAAGGAGAAAGACGAGAAGGAGCGCAAGAAGTACGGCAAACTCAACGCCAAGCAACGCCTCGAGATGGTACACACATTTTGCACAGATTTGCCAACGTTCTTTGCCAGACCTCGACGAAAATGATGGAGGACAACATTGTGCAGGAGATGGCCAGCGTCCTCAACACGTCCGCATTCCATTAGACAACTACTGCTTACCCCCGCCCATTTATCCGCTCAGCAATTGCCCCCTCATTTTTTATACTCGGTTTTCATGTGCGTGTTAATTTCTTCGAACGGTTCCCCCCAAATAAATGTGTTTGGCTGCCCATATTGTTCTATCGAAATTTATTCCGGCATTGAACTCTTAACGAGGGGGTGACCCGGGTATATCGCACCCGTATGCTCTCAATCATGGAATTGAATTCATTAATAGTCAACAATTAACAATTAAACGACAGCTGGACGCCCCGCTGAGCTGAGGAATTCTTATTGCGCGCCCCAGTGACCGTAACCCGGCGGTCCCCTCTGTTCGGCAATTAACCCCACGTAAGCAAACCCAAACGTTAAAACAAAACAATCCGTAATACAACTAACTACATTTTTATTCTTGTTTTTGATCAATATTCATTTAGTAACATCTTTCATACGCACAGTTCAGAAATCCAACGCAGCACATTAGCGGACCGCCGCCCGTTAATTGTAAGCCCGAATTGAGAACCAGCTTCCTTTTACAAAGAACAGTCTTGTTCTGCGTTTTATAGTTTGCGGATGCATGGCGGAGCGGGGCGCCTGCTTGCTGGCTCCAAGCGATGGCTGGCTTGTAGTGGTTGTTCTTGCTCAGTTTTTTTAATTCCTTTTTTGAATCGAGATTCATCCGCCCCATGGGGCATCTGAATCGATTCGTGTGCCCCCAAGACATATAAATCACGCTAAAACATTTTTCGAGCCCTTTTTAAACAAATTTTCGAGTTTTTCTTGACTATTTTTGAGCAATTTCTAAGGGCGTCAGACCTTTCAGTTTCGATTCATCCGCCCCATGGGGCATCTGAATCGATATTCATCCGCCCCATGGGGCATCTGAATCGATTCGTGTGCCCCCAAGACATATAAATCACGCTAAAACATTTTTCGAGCCCTTTTTAAACAAATTTTCGAGTTTTTCTTGACTATTTTTGAGCAATTTCTAAGGGCGTCAGACCTTTCAGTTTCGATTCATCCGCCCCATGGGGCATCTGAATCGATATTCATCCGCCCCATGGGGCATCTGAATCGATTCGTGTGCCCCCAAGACATATAAATCACGCTAAAACATTTTTCGAGCTCTTTTTAAACAAATTTTCGAGTTTTTCTTGACTATTTTTGAGCAATTTCTAAGGGCGTTAGACCTTTCAATTTCGATTCATCTGCCCCATGGCGCATCTGAATCGATATTCATCTGCCCCATGGCGCATCTGAATCGATATTCATCCGCCCCATGGGGCATCTGAATCGATATTCATCTGCCCCATGGCGCATCTGAATCGATATTCATCCGCCCCATGGGGCATCTGAATCGATATTCATCTGCCCCATGGCGCATCTGAATCGATATTCATCTGCCCCATGGCGCATCTGAATCGATTCGTGTGCCCCCAAGACTCGAAAATTTGTTTAAAAAGAGCTCGAAAAATGTTTTAGCGATTTATATGTTTTCTTGACTATTTTTGAGCAATTTCTAGGGCGTTAGACCTTTCAATTTCGATTCATCTGCCCCATGGGGCATCTGAATCGATATTCATCTGCCCCATGGCGCCTCTGAATCGATATTCATCCGCCCCATGGGGCATCTGAATCGATATTCATCTGCCCCATGGCGCATCTGAATCGATATTCATCTGCCCCATGGCGCATCTGAATCGATATTCATCCGCCCCATGGGGCATCTGAATCGATATTCATCTGCCCCATGGCGCATCTGAATCGATATTCATCCGCCCCATGGGGCATCTGAATCGATATTCATCTGCCCCATGGCGCATCTGAATCGATATTCATCCGCCCCATGGGGCATCTGAATCGATATTCATCTGCCCCATGGCGCATCTGAATCGATATTCATCCGCCCCATGGGGCATCTGAATCGATATTCATCTGCCCCATGGCGCATCTGAATCGATATTCATCTGCCCCATGGGGCATCTGAATCGATATTCATCTGCCCCATGGCGCATCTGAATCGATATTCATCTGCCCCATGGCGCATCTGAATCGATATTCATCTGCCCCATGGCGCATCTGAATCGATTCGTGTGCCCCAAGACTCGAAAATTTGCTTAAAAAGAGCTCGAAAAATGTTTTAGCGTGATTTATATGTTTTTCTTGACTATTTTTGAGCAATTTCTAAGGGCGTTAGACCTTTCAATTTCGATTCATCTGCCCCATGGGGCATCTGAATCGATATTTATCTGCCCCATGGGGCATCTGAATCGATATTCATCTGCCCCATGGGGCATCTGAATCGATATTCATCTGCCCCATGGCGCATCTGAATCGATATTCATCTGCCCCATGGGGCATCTGAATCGATATTCATCTGCCCCATGGCGCATCTGAATCGATATTCATCTGCCCCATGGGGCATCTGAATCGATATTCATCTGCCCCATGGGGCATCTGAATCGATATTCATCTGCCCCATGGGGCATCTGAATCGATATTCATCTGCCCCATGGGGCATCTGAATCGATATTCATCTGCCCCATGGGGCATCTGAATCGATATTCATCTGCCCCATGGCGCATCTGAATCGATATTCATCTGCCCCATGGGGCATCTGAATCGATATTCATCTGCCCCATGGCGCATCTGAATCGATATTCATCTGCCCCATGGGGCATCTGAATCGATATTCATCTGCCCCATGGCGCATCTGAATCGATATTCATCCGCCCCATGGGGCATCTGAATCGATATTCATCTGCCCCATGGCGCATCTGAATCGATTCGTGTGCCCCCAAGACTCGAAAATTTGTTTAAAAGAGCTCGAAAAATGTTTTAGCGTGATTTATATGTTTTCTTGACTATTTTTGAGCAATTTCTAAGGGCGTTAGACCTTTCAATTTCGATTCATCTGCCCCATGGGGCATCTGAATCGATATTCATCTGCCCCATGGCGCCTCTGAATCGATATTCATCCGCCCCATGGGGCATCTGAATCGATATTCATCTGCCCCATGGCGCATCTGAATCGATATTCATCTGCCCCATGGCGCATCTGAATCGATATTCATCCGCCCCATGGGGCATCTGAATCGATATTCATCTGCCCCATGGCGCATCTGAATCGATATTCATCCGCCCCATGGGGCATCTGAATCGATATTCATCTGCCCCATGGCGCATCTGAATCGATATTCATCTGCCCCATGGCGCATCTGAATCGATATTCATCCGCCCCATGGGGCATCTGAATCGATATTCATCTGCCCCATGGCGCATCTGAATCGATTCGTGTGCCCCCAAGACTCGAAAATTTGTTTAAAAAGAGCTCGAAAAATGTTTTAGCGTGATTTATATGTTTTTCTTGACTATTTTTGAGCAATTTCTAAGGGCGTTAGACCTTTCAATTTCGATTCATCTGCCCCATGGGGCATCTGAATCGATATTTATCTGCCCCATGGGGCATCTGAATCGATATTCATCTGCCCCATGGCGCATCTGAATCGATATTCATCCGCCCCATGGGGCATCTGAATCGATATTCATCTGCCCCATGGCGCATCTGAATCGATATTCATCTGCCCCATGGGGCATCTGAATCGATATTCATCTGCCCCATGGCGCATCTGAATCGATATTCATCTGCCCCATGGCGCATCTGAATCGATATTCATCCGCCCCATGGGGCATCTGAATCGATATTCATCTGCCCCATGGCGCATCTGAATCGATATTCATCCGCCCCATCCGCATCTGAATCGATTCGTGTGCCCCAAGATATATAAATCACGCTAAAACATTTTTCGAGCTCTTTTTAAACAAATTTTCGAGTTTTTCTTGACTATTTTTGAGCAATTTCTAAGGGCGTTAGACCTTTCAATTTCGATTCATCTGCCCCATGGCGCATCTGAATCGATATTCATTTGCCCCATGGCGCATCTGAATCGATATTCATCTGCCCCATGGCGCATCTGAATCGATATTCATCCGCCCCATCCGCATCTGAATCGATTCGTGTGCCCCAAGATATATAAATCACGCTAAAACATTTTTCGAGCTCTTTTTAAACAAATTTTCGAGTTTTTCTTGACTATTTTTGAGCAATTTCTAAGGGCGTTAGACCTTTCAATTTCGATTCATCTGCCCCATGGCGCATCTGAATCGATATTCATTTGCCCCATGGCGCATCTGAATCGATATTCATCTGCCCCATGGCGCATCTGGGTACAAGTAGGGATAAGCGGGGGAAATTTTAGGCGGGGGGAAACCAACTTTTTTCCGCTCAAGCCTATTTTTTTATATAAATAATGGAAGTGTTTCTGAATTGTTTATAGCTATTCCTAAACATAAAAACTTTACAAAACTTAATTAAAAAATTTAATTTTAGGTCTAAAAATCACTTTTTCGGCCCAAAAATGACCAAATTCTCGACTTTATCAAGCGTTTTTCTAACTTTTTAAAAAAAATTTCGGATTCAAATAGGCTTAAATTTTGCTAAAAACAATGTGAAAACACTTTATATTTGATTACTATCCCCACCAGGGCCGACCAGGAAAAAGTTGGTTTCCCCGCCTAGAATTCCCCGCTTATCCTACTTGTACCCGCATCTGAATCGATATTCATCTGCCCCATGGGGCATCTGAATCGATATTCATCTGCCCCATGGCGCATCAGAATCGATATTCATCTGCCCCATGGGGCATCTGAATCGATATTCATCTGCCCCATGGGGCATCTGCATCGATATTCATCCGCCCCATGGGGCATCTGAATCGATATTCATCTGCCCCATGGCGCATCTGAATCGATATTCATCTGCCCCATGGCGCATCTGAATCGATATTCATCTGCCCCATGGCGCATCTGAATCGATATTCATCCGCCCCATGGGGCATCTGAATCGATATTCATCCGCCCCATGGGGCATCTGAATCGATATTCATCTGCCCCATGGCGCATCTGAATCGATATTCATCTGCCCCATGGCGCATCTGAATCGA